TTTCAAGCTCGCCCGGTGTGGATATACACTCAGAGTAACACCACAAATATCATATTCACCTGAGTACACTACACCAACACAGAAAAAAAAAATTAAAAAAATCATGTTTCATTTAATCTAGCTGAAATCAATGAGGTAGCCCAATTATAATTACAAGGGCTGAAATGCACCTAGCCTTAAAAACCATCATTCAAAAGGCTGAACAGTGCCTTTTAGCTGAACTGTTATTTATTTATTACGGACTGAGTCCGCGTTTTACAGAACTCAGTCCACGATTTGTAAAACACGCAGTGAATCCGCGTTTTACAAATTGAGTCTTCGATTTGTGAAACACGGACTCAGGCCGCGTTTCTCCAGTCCAGTCCGTGTTTTACAACATGCCTTGTGCAAACGTAATTCTAATTTCGATTTCTTGTGTAAACACACACATCTCACATGATCTACGTAAACGCTAATGAGTATAATGGCAAAAATTATTAATAATAGTAAGAAATAGTAAGAAATACATTATTTCTATCGAGTGAGAAATCCTGACATTGTATGAATTGTATCATAGACTTATGTAGTTATGGTTAATATGAGTTACTTATGGTCATGACTTACTTAATTTCACAACATTTTAGTCTAGTATTTACATCATGTTAGGAAGCCTCACATATATCGATTTCGTCCATGAGAAACGTCATATGTTCGTTTCTCTGGAGACCCACCCCACCCCCACCCTTAGAAACGTCACACATAGTTACCGATATTTTGTTCAATATAGTAGGCCTACGCATAAAGTAATTTTCTACTATTTTCTACGGTCGGCTATTGGCGATGCTTCCGCGAGGAATATGTCATCTTCTGCTGACATATCTTTTTTTATTAATATATATGAACTTCAAAATTTCCAACGTTTCTCAAAACAACTTTTTTTTGCATATAATAATATAAATGTATACGTGTAGAACAGGTATGGTATAGAATGTAGGCCTATAGACTGGTGTTTGTATCAAGTTGTTTTCTTTTTTATACTCTGCAAAGATGATTTCGAAATGTTAAGGCTTTCGAAAAAACTATCGAATTTTTCCATGATATTTACAGAGAAACGTCACAGTTGCAACCCCCCCCCCCCCCCCCC